GATCATGAGTTTGAGCAAGCTCTGGGAGATGGTGAAGGACAGGGAAGCCTGGTGTGCTGCAGTTCATGGGGTTGCAAAGAGCCATGACTTAACGACTGACCAACAACAACAAATATAAAGTTTGTTTTTTTCAATGTAAAAGTATTTATAAGTTTGTGTTTTAAAAATAAATCTGGGAAAGTCTAAGACAAAGTGGGATGGTTGGGAACTCTAGCATCATAATCTACAGTGTATGTTAACCTGTGTGCATCTAGAGATCTTTCTAAAAATTGTGGTAGAAAACACGTAACATAAAATTACCATGTTAACCATTGTAAGTGTATAGTATAGCATAGTAGTCTTAACTATATGCACCATGTTGTGAAACTAAGCTCCCAGAACCTTTTGTAAAACTGAAACTGTACACCCATTGAACAACAACTCCCTTTTTTTCTCTCTCTCATCAGCTCCAGGCAACCACCATTCTACCTTTTGTTTCAAAGTATATTCTTTAAGCACAACAAAATTAAACTAAAATCAATAACAGAAAGGTAACAGGAAAGTCTCTAAACACTTGGAAATTAAACAACACACACTTCTATACCATCCAAGAGTCAAAGAGTAAGACTTGAGGGAAATTAGAAAATATTCTGAATTGAACAAAAATGAACTGAACAACATACATCAAAACTGTGTGTTGGGGGATAGAGTTAAAGTAGTGCTTGGAGAGAAATGTATAGCATTAAAATCTTATGTTAGAAAAGAAAAGTCTCAGAGCTAATAATCCAGGCTTCTGCTTTAGGAACCTAGAAGAAAAGAAAAATAAATGCAGAGCAGGCAGAAGGAATGAAAAAAGATAGTAACAGAAATCAATTAAATTTAAAAAATAAGACAAAAATCAATGAAATCAAAACCTGGTTCTTTGAAAAGATCAAAAATTGATATAACTGTAGCAAGATTGACCAAGGAAAAGAGAAGACAAATTACCCACAGAGGAGTGGAAGAGGGGCCATTACTACAAATTCTGCAGAAATTAAAAGAATAATAAAGGAATATACTGAACAGTGATACACACATTACCTCAACTGTGATGAAGTGGGCCAATTCCTTGAAAACCAATAACTACCAAACTCACCTAAAATGAAATCCATAACCTGAATAATCCCACAACTACTAAAAAAAAATCGAATCCATAGTTTAAAGCCTTCTGAAAAAGAAAAAACTCTGAGGTTGCTGCCATTCCCGAGGGACTAGCATGCATTTCTCATGATGGCACTCCACTCTGTCTCTGGAACTCATCTTTCTAGATCCCCCATCACTCCTGGTTCTCCTTTCAAGGAGGGCTATTCATACCCTGCCCTAAGCATTCCTTCACCGAGGCCTGTGCTCATTTCTCTAGTTCTTGGGCTAAAATCCTTCTTGTCCTCCAAGACCCAAGTCAATGCCTTTTGTATTCTCCCCAGATTCCCTCAGGACAACAAGCAATGTCTGTACGTGGGCCACATCATTCTGGTTCCTAACAGAACTGTCTCCACAGGCCCTACCTATGTTCTTGTCAAAGAACCCTGGGCGGGCTTCCCTGAAGGCTCAGTGGTTAAGAATCCACCTGCCAATTCAGGAGACACGGGTTCAATCTCTGATCCGAGAAGATCCCACTTGTCATGGAGCAACTAAGCTCATACACCACAACTGTCGAACCTGTGCTCTAGAGCCTGGAAGCCACAACTACAGAAACCATGAGCCACAATTACTGAAGCCCCTGCACCATGCTCAGCAGCAAGAGAAGCTGCTGCAATGTGAAGCCTGCACACTGCAACTAGAGTAGCCCCCACTTGCTGCAATTAGAGATTTGCACAGCAATGAAGATCCAGCAGAGCAAAAAAAAAAAAAAAAGATGCCTGGGCAAAATAACCACAATGGAACTTGCAATAAAAATGCTGTTGTGGAGATGGCGAGATACAGTTCCACATGAGATAATATTTTTTATAAATTTATGACTGCTGCTGCTGCTGCTAAGTCACTTCAGTTGTGTCCAACTCTGTGTGACCCCATAGACGGCAGCCCACTAGGAACTAAAAAAAGAACTATATACTAGGAAAATTTTTACATTTTCCCAGGAACTGGTCTGCTTCACCATGCCAGATGAGACCAGAGAGCTACTGATGTTTTGCTTTTTTCTCCTGGCAGTCAGAAAGCCCAGTGCCTGTTTTCAAGCTACTCTGTCCACTTTTTGTTTTTCTTTCCTTGGAGTTTGATTTTCCACTTGTGTTCATGTTTTGCTATTGCAGTGCTGGTGCTGTCATGGTAAAATCACTGCCAATCCTGGAGTACCATGTTTATGGCAGAAGCTGAGTCAATATCTGAATGAATAAATGTCTCTAAGATGCATGTGCTATTCATTCAGAGCAACACACTGGGAAGGCAGTACTTCCCTAATAGCACTTCCAGTTGGTAAGAGGAAAGAGTGCTGGGCACCTATGGGGACAAATGTTCACTTACCTTGGGGACCTACTGGTGGAATAAGAGTTGTTTAGCAAAGACTTTGGTGACGTGTAGGTTTACGACTTGACTTTAAATAAGCCGGAGGCCTGCCCCAGAGGACTTCAGGGCATCTGCTCAGAGCTTGGGAAATAAACAGATGCCTTTCCTCTCAGTGAAGAGGAAAAGACCCACAAAGCCCAGCCCTCCTGAATAATCCCTTGAATCTGAAAACCACAACCTGGGGTCATGGGAATTTCACACACTGCTTTGTAGAGATGTCCAAGTTTCACTAAGAATAAGAAGATGTAAAGGATGCCTCTTGTTTACTGTTTGGCTTAATAAACTTTTTGGGTCACTTTTCACTGTGTCACTGCCATCATCATCACCCCAGATTCTCCTGTCACCTACAGGTATTATATCCATGTACATATTAAAAAATCTTAAATATCTACCCTATATGATATGCTTTCTAATCATGTGACAGTGTTAATTCAAACAATAGCTAATGATCTGTCTTTTCTTGGTTTGGAGACAGAAAAGCTGACACACTTCAAAACCGGATGACTAGGCTTCCAGGTGGCACAGTGGATAAGAACTTGCCTGCCAAAGCAGGGGACACAGGTTCGATCTCTGGTCCCGGAAGATCCCGCATAACACCAGGCAACTAATCCCACATACCACAACTACTTAGCCCGTGCTCTGCAACTAGAGAAGCCACTGTGACGAGAGGCTTTTTTACTGCAAAGGAGAGTAGCCCCACAAGAGGCAACTAGAGAAAACCCTCGAAAAGCAACAGAGACTCAGCACAGCCAAAAATAAATAAATACATAAAAAGAAATTAAAAAAAAAAACCTGGATAACCATGTCTGCAGGATGAACTCTCAATGCTTGGCCTGGCATTTTACACCCTCCTAATCTGGGTCCAGCTTACCACTCTACTGCAGTCTTGTAGATCCTGACATAAGCCTTCACTTAATCTAGACAGAGCTATTAATATTTACTCCTGCCTGAGGAGGGGTTGGAGAAGGCAATGGCACCCCATTCCAGTACTCTTGCCTGGAAAATCCCATGGACGGAGGAGCCTGCTGGGCTGCAGTCCATGGGGTCACATAGAGTCAGACACGACTGAAGCGACTTAGCAGCAGCAGCGGAGGAGGGGTCCTCACTCAGTCCTACCACTATGCCTTTGCCCACTCATCCCCTTGCCTGGAATGTTCTTCCATTTTGGATCACTCACAAACAGTTTTCAGGCTTCTTTAACTTTTCTGGCCATGATCATCTCTCCTCTCTGAAGCACTTCCTGCACCACTTACTTATGACTTAATTATAGTGGTCTTGAATCATCATTTAGCTTCTCAACAGCAGGGATCAAATCACCCTTTCCTGAGACACGTACACCCCAATGTTCATCGCAGCACTGTTTATAATAGCCAGGACATGGAAGCAACCTAGATACCCATCAGCAGATGAATGGATAAGGAAGCTGTGGTACATATACACCATGGAATATTACTCAGCCATTAAAAAGAATTCATTTGAATCAGTTCTAATGAGATGGATGNTAGGGTGAAACAGATCACCAGCCCAGGTTGGATGCATGAGACAAGTGCTCGGGCCTGGTGTACTGGGAAGACCCAGAGGGATCAGGTCGAGAAGGAGGTGGGAGGGGGGATCGGGATGGGGAATACATGTAAATCCATGGCTGATTCATGTCAATGTATGACAAAAACCACTACAATATTGTAAAGTAATCAGCCTCCAACTAATAAAAATAAATGAAAAAAAAATCACCCTTTCCTTTGTTTCCTGTGTCCCCCACCAGCAGTGCTAGTCACAGAGTGGTGGTCAACAAATACTGGCTGCAAGGGCCAGAATTTAAAATACACAGCTATTAGTTCTTAGTTGAAGTCACTCTGCCAGAGTGTCAAGCTAGCATAGGCAGAATGATGGGAGGAGGGCCTGGCGTCAGACAGTTGACATCTCCATGGCTCTAAGAGTCATCGGCACACCCTCCAGAAGCGCCGCTCTTGTGGAGGGAGGGCGGGCAGAGTGTGTGGTCTCGGACTTCAGGAGCATCCTTTCTGGCCCGCCTCTCCAGGGTTAGTGGTGGCTGATGGGTCTTACCTTATCTGCATCCCTTTTCTACAGGAGCACATGTCCTTGCGCAGGAAGAGACTGTTTAGGGTGACCGCCCCGATCAAGAAGAAGAGCTGCTTCACCGCCTGCCTCACGATCTCAGGGTCCAGGCCATTCTGGCACATGGTGCTGTAGAAGTAGCTCAGTTGCTGCAGGACGGAGGTCATCGTGTAGGCATCCGTGTCATCTATGCTGGAGGACCGCTTCCGGAAGCCTGTGGGCTTCAGGCCAGAAATGCCCTGCAGACTCTCGTACTCCAGCATGCCTGGCACTATGGAGAAAAATGGAAGCTTTTCTTGCACGTGCACTGGGGACACCCAGAGGACATTTCCCCTGCTCTCATGTGTCTGTTTCAGGGAGTGGGACAATTTTCACAAGAGTTAGTGTAGATACAGCTTTAACAGAGAAAGCAGAAGGATGGAGGGCTGGGGAACACCAGGGTGTAAGGGGTGGATGGGAATGAACCACCATCTACAGCAGGGGAACAGTTCCTCTTCTTCCAACTTGACAGGAGAGAAAGCTGGTTATCGTGACAACTCATGGTCTGGAACTACTTAAAGCCTACAGTATTTAAATTTCAGAAAACTGAAGAAAGTATACAAGAATTTGTATACAAGAGTATACAAGCATACATGAGTAGGGCTCTAGGATTTCTAAAATACTTGGCTTAGAACCAGGATTAGCCACATAATTAGCAGCAGTTCTCCCAAATCTTTCCCTACAGGATGGATCCCCCTTACAGAAAGAAAACTATGACCCATGTACTTTTATATATGTAATCATTTTAAGCAATCAGAGAATTAAATAGTGGGCATTTATATTAGTAAAGTTTCTTGTTTTAAAATTATGTTCTTTGAAGGTACAATAGAGAATCATACTTATCTAGGTGATATTGTGAATCTCTTATTTGCATTGTCGTTAGGGAAAATCTCTAAAAATATTTATTACTTGAGGAAAAAATGGTTCTCTTTCTTTCTGAGTATCATGGCTGTACCACCTCTGAAAATGAGTGCTTGTTTTCGGGAGATGTAAACGTTTTTGTGTGAACGTTTGCTTATACCGCTGGAAACATGACCAAATCACAATCTGGATTGTCACCACCACACTGGCCTTTTCTGCTACTATGAGTACTAAATATCACCCTAGTGACTAAAACCACTTATGTCAACATGACTTAGTTGTTTTCTTTGGGGGAAGGGTGGGACAGAAAAGGATAAGACTAAACCAATAAATTATTTTACTATTGGCTTAAAAAAAATTATGTGCTTTTCAAATACATATTCCATGCGGATTTATTTTTTAAGGTCTCAATATCATTATAAATCTTTCTTAGTCATTGATTCTTTTCTTACCTATTATTGGTTGAATGTTATTTTCCATCACGATAATGAACTGATGATATATTCGTATAGCCACATCACTAAGAATCTGTCTGTATTCTGAAAGGTCAAAATTGTTCAAGCAATTCTTATTCTGATGTGGACTATTATGCTTCATGAATTCCTGAAAGTAATTTTGAACATATAAATATTAGAATAATGTAGACACATAGAAAATTAAAATACTATCTCTGTATCTAATGATATTACAATAAGTTTCTACTATAACTCCTATACATAATGTCTGATCTGTATCAAATGAATTCTTAATGTTTGGGATAGCATTTATTTTCTATAACTAACTACACTTGACCCTTAAATGATATGTGTTTGAACTACATAGGTCTGCTTACATGTGGACTTTTTTCACTAAGTTATGTATTATATAGTACTACATGATCGACAGTTGATTGAATCTAAGGATTTGTAAATATTACTGTTCTGTTTAACTTTTCAACAAATATGTGCCTCCAGAGTTAGATTACACTGGAAAACAACCCCCATGGAAGCTCATAGGAAAAACAGCAAAGCATCCAAGGAAATAAACTGCTGTAAGAGGTTGATAGATGCAATAAATGAGATTCATAACTTTACAGTTACAGAGTATAGACCAATCTGAAATACTTTCATATGGGTGTTATGGACTGAATATTTGTTTCCCCCTCAAATTTATATGTTGATGCCATAACCTCCATTGTGGCTAGATTTGGAGATGGGGTCTCTGTCACCATGTTATTAAGGTTAAACGAGGTCACAAGGGTGGGAGTCCTGATCTGATAGGATTAGTGTTCTTATAAAAGGAGACACTAGAGAGATCAATCTCTCTTTCTATCCCATGCACCGAGGAAAGGTCATTATGAATACACAGGGAGAAGGTGGCTATCTTCAAGTCCAGAAGTGGACTTTCACCAGTGACCCAATGCTTGCACCCTGATCTCAGATTTCCATTTTCCAGAACTGTGAGAAAATAAATTTCTGTTGTTTAGGCCACCTAGTCTGTGGTATTCTGTTACAGCAGCCCAGCCTGAACATGGTAATACATTTATAATGTTCAAAGAAGTAAAATTAAAAAAAAAAACTTAAGGTAAGAATAGGGCATTGTAAAAGGCAGAGGTAAAAAAGAACCATTGGAATTTTAGAAATAAAAATATAGTAATTAAAAAATCTTCAGACAAGGAAAAAAACATTGTATACA